TGACCCTTCAGTTGTCGGCTATCCAGGCCCCGAAGCCGGCCGAAGCCATGTACAAAAAGCCAGGGGCCTAGTCGGCAGGAGCTTCGGCTGAGTTTCTGGTGCTCAGGGACAAGTTGCCATTCCGGAAACGCGATTTGCATGTTTGTTCCTTCCAACCGTACGGTTCATATCAATATTAGTGTTTATATATCTTGAGGCCCAGCTCCGGCCAGTCAAAGCGAACGTCCCATCGACCAAACAAACACTCGGGCAGGCGCGTTGAGCTGCAAGCGCTGTGACGGGCCTGGATTGTCTAGGAATGGCAACCTCGAGCGTGACTGCAGCGACAAGGGGAGCCACTGCCATCAGCTAGGATTTTTCATGGATTTGTTGATTCAGGGGCTTTGGGGGCTAAGTGATCCAGGGGGCGGTCCAAGTGCCCCAACTGGGCTCCCGTTTTTTGGATTGCCTCCACAGGACTCAACATGACACCTTAACCTTTTGAACAAACACCAGCCCAACTGGTTTGGACATGGTCTTTGGAGGTTATCTTTTTGGCTCGGTTTAAATGGTGGAAAACGAGGAACCTCCCCATTTCGGGGGTCATTTGGGCCATATCCCCCCCGGAGCCGCTTCAGGTGGCGGCGGCGTTGGCGCATGCGGAGCTGGAGGCGGAGCTGAAGCTGCAGGAGGAGAAGGAGAAGGACCCGAAGTCTGAGTCGTCGTCCCATGGGGATCCAACTATAAACAAAACTGGGGTGGTTGCCATTCAAGCTACCACTTAGGGGGTGACGTTGATAATGGTAAAATAGTGGGACTAGCAAGACCACCACCTTTGGGTGGGTTTCCCAGTGTTGGCTATCAGGGATCCGACCTGTTTGTTCTTCGGCTGGGTTTCAAGATCACCTTTTGGAGTTTTTGTCTTGGTGAGGTGATGTTTTTGAAGGCTGTTGCCGGGAGTCGCCAAATGAAGAGGATGTCCGCCAGTATATACCCCTTGCATATCAGCTATGTAGTGGTATACCCTCCCGGCATTGCTCCTTAGGCAGCTGGTGATTTGAGTTTATGTCAAAGTTAGGGATCCCGATTTGGTTTCTTTTGAAAGGAAATTTGCCGCCAACAGCGCCAACCATTGGGAGTGTCCCGAGTTTACATGCATTCTAACCGGGTGGGGGGGGGTTATCAACAGAGATGTACTTACTGGATTTGCCGGGGGGGGCAGTCGTCGCACCAGGTTTCAGATGTCATAGCTTCCATTGGACATTCTTGTTGCTTGCTGGCTTCAGCTAAAGAAACTCCCGTTTCTCTTGGTGAGCACGGGCGAAGTTCCCTCGGAATGCTGAGCATGTGTTCCGAAACAAATAGTCACTAGTCAGCCTCTGCTCGCCAAACATTCCAGTCAACCTCCGAATAACATAGCCCCGAGTTTTGCTCCAAGCGTTTTTAGAAGAACCCAATAGATCCCATTGCCATGTGTTTTGCGAACCCCCACCCACGTCAAACTGTGGGGCTCGCACATTCTTTCGCAGAAGGGGTTTGCTTCATAATAGGGGAGCCCTGAAAATGGGCGGGTGTTCCTTTTGGTCTCCCAAAAAAGGCACCCTCAGACAAGGACGCATTCTTTCGAGGACCAGCAGAGGAGGAAGATCGAGTTTCAGATCAAGAGCACCGATCCAGTGGCAAGGATGTTGAAGCTGAAAGAGCCTTGGCTTCACACGCTCGATCCGTGCGAATGTCCGTTTCGGACAGGCAAAGATGGCTACCACTTGATCTCGTTTGCAACAGAAGGGTGCCCTGAAAACAAACCATGCACGTTTCCTTGTTCCGGATTGTTGGGGCGAGCTATTGATCAATCATGCGCTGTACAGAGGCCGTTTCTCGACCTGGCTCCCCTGTAAAGAAACTGGGGCTTGGTGCACACGGACGGGACTGGAGCAAGGCAAGAGCTGCAGACCTTCTCTTTGACGGGTCTTTGGCTTTGCGGCTATAATTTTTGACATGGTGTTTTAAGGCCCCCTCACCGAGCAAGATGGCAAAACAACAGCCCCTTTGCATGATTTTATAGTAAAGGAGACCCAAAGAAAGCCGGTGTCCATTTGGTCCAAGTCTTCTTCAGACAGACAGCCACTTCGCTTGATTTTATTATCTGTTTTAAAGCGCGGCCCACATTTCTCACGGTGTCTTCAAGTGTGGAGGCCGTTTAGCCTTTGAGCACATTCGGGCAAACCAGGAGAAGACTACTCATGGGGTTGCAAGTGGATTTTTGTTTGCAGCGTGATTCCCGTCTGTATTTGAACCATAAGATATCAGAATCATGCCATTCGCACACAGTGCCTGGTGAGATGAGGAGTCGGAGTCTACCCGCGCAGAGGAAGGAACATCATACATCAGTAGTCTTCCATTTGTGCGGGAGTTTCTTTAATTTTTTTTCTCCAGCAAGCAATGCCAATAGCCAAGGATGCCCATGTTTCTCATTCACTGGAGGGTTTGGGTTTGGAGTGGCACGGTGTAGATCTGAAATTGCGGTAACTCGACAGAGCCTACACGGCAGGCAGTGGAGGAATTGAGCAAGGATCTGGTGTTTGTTGCTGTTTTGGCAGCGCGAATTTTGAGGTGTGTCTCAGCAGGTTCCACTTTTTTGACACCCCAAGATAGACTTTTGGGGGAACCACTCCTGGGTTTAAGTCTACCCTGGGGTCACAAAGTTGAACCCTGTGTTGCAGTCCCTGGTCCAGACAGTTCCTTATCCCCCTTCTGCAATCCTCTGGATTCAAGCTAATAATTACAGGGTGGTTGATCAATGTTCCTGGCCCCAAATGACCATGGGCAACTCTTGCCATGTGGAACATATCATTTTTGTTGGTGGCTTTTCCCCAATTGTCATCCCACGTGAAGGACCTTTGATCAACCCCACATATCATTCCAGGCCCAAAACTTCCAAGAGCTGAGCACTTGACTCAGGAAACGCTTCGCTCCGACAAGGAAGGCCTGGGCCTGCGTACCTTGAAATGGCCAGGGTTTCCAGTTGGCTTCCCTTTGCCAGGGGGTCCATTTTCTGTCCAATGGACCCTTGGTCTCTCTTAGGTTTGTTCAAAGGGTCCCTCCCATTGGGCACCTAAGCTACCCTCGATGGCCGAACTTGGCAAACGGCCATCTCACAATGCGAGGCCTTCAACACCCTGTCAGCAGGGTGTCCTGTGACAATGTCGACTGCTATGAGCTTGCATGTAAATGATCCGGAGTGTCGCTTGCCGCAGAGTGATATGATATTAACCTTTGTAAGAGTGCCAATAGTTTGACCCACGCTGACAGTTCCGCTGGCCGCAGCATACTAAAGCGGTCAAGAGGAAACGGCTGCCCAAAACAGTGAGAGTCATGCCACTTGCTCCCCCGGATAAAGGGTGTTGTTCTGGACTAAATATCTATGCAAGCGCACAAGGATCCAAAGCAATGTGTGGCGGTAAATGATGTCAGGGTTCTACCGTTGGCTCTCGCACCTGGCTTGTTGGGGTGATAAATCCTTAATCAGAAATTAAAAGCCAATTTACGGGAATCTTATTCCTCCCACGCAACGAGCAGAGTTTTGGAGCTCAGGTGAAGGAACTACTTGGCCTGGATTTACCCTCTCATACCTGACCTTAGGCTCCTTAATGAGGGGAGGCCTCCCTTTGTAGCCTGGGGTGCCTGCAACATCTCGCGGCACGGTTTGAACTTTGCCAGCCAGAGTGTGCCGCTTAGCACGATTCGAATTTTGGATTTGTCATTCTGCTTTTGTCCGGGATTGGTCTATGGGATTGTCCACGCATCGCACTAGTTGGGTCGGGATTCCCTACCGGCCGCACACTCCTTCAACTTACGTGAGCTTCGGCCATTCCCATGACGTTGACCGCATATCATATGTGTTATGTTCCTCGAGGGCAGTTTCCTGCGACCCGCACAACAATTGCAAGCTTTGCATGAGGTCTTGCGGTGACGCTCGAGGTATTTCCAGTATTTCCATGTTGAGGGCTTTCCATCTTAGATATTCATTAGGGACCTCTTGGTGGACAACATTTAGGTGGGTGGGATTCATGTCCACGTTCCCTATTCAAGTTCATAGCCATTGTTTTTCTTGGGGACAGCTCTTTCTGGGTTCGTTTCAAGGGACACGCAAAGGAACCCATTCTTATGTGTTCATTGAGGTAAAGGGAAACCAAACGGACAAAGGAAATTCCTATTGGGGGTTCCCCAAGACAAGACACAGCCATACTTAGGAACTCTTAGTTGTTGGTTTGGATTTGGATTTGAATCCCTGGTTCTTGTAGAGGGTAAATGGGAAACCATCCCTAGCCAACAAGCCACCACTCCAAACCACCCCAAAAATCAGGGGAAGCTGATCGGGTTGCATTTGAAGCCCAGAAGAGGCCGCCCTGAAAAGATGGCGCCTTTGGGTTCCTATTATGGGCTTGGCACCCTGGCGGCTGGTCTTAAGCTCTGTTGGCGCCCTCTGTGGAGCTCTGGCCGTGGCTTCCTGCGGGTTCCAACCGCCGTGGAGACTGGCCAAGCGGTGGCTGGTGCGCTCGGGAAGGACCGAGACCGGGTGGGCATGAGCCGGTTTTGGGTTGGATTCCCGGAAAGGAAAGCACCAGTTGGAAGGTTTTATTTTTTTCCGGGGTCATTCCATTTCTCATTCCCTGCCTATTGCACCGGCAAGAGAAAGAAGCCCAAACATACCCCGAAAAGGGTGGCTTGCTTTGGGTGTCCCGGTAACAGCCAAGCACAAACCTAGTTGCTCTCGGGGCAAAGCCTCCTCCTTCAGGTGAGAAGCCGCCACCGCCGCCTCAGACAGAGGCGCCGTTAGAGCAAGAGGAGCCACCGCCGCCACCGGAGGACGGACGGACGTCGTTTGTTTTGCTTTTTCAGTATTAATTTCCTGCTCTCCTTTCTTGCTGTCTGTGACTCTGCAGAGCTCGCGCAGCGGCTGAGCATCCCGGAGGATTAGTCGAGCCCTGGAGACCCTTCAGGCTTGGTCAAACCGACGGGCCTTGAAGAAGCCTTTTGCTTGCTTTTTTGGCACTGTCACCTCTCGCCCAAACTGGCGGAGAATGAGAGTGGGCCTTTTTTGGAGATTTTGCTAGTTTTTTTGGCACTGCCGCCCCTAGTTCAAACTGACGGAGAAGGGCAGTGCGCCTTTTTTTTGAGTGTTTGCCCGTCTCTCACTACCTGTCCCGTTAACCTTTTAAACAGCTCAACTTAGCTTTCTCTCTGAATACGGCCACGAGATCACCTGATTGCAGCAGGCAGGCAGGCAGGCAGGCAGGCAGGCAGGCAGGCAGGCAGGCAGGCAGGCAGGCAGGGAGAAAGGGGAGCGGAGCGGAGCGGAGCGGAGGGGAGGGGAGGGGAGGGGAGGGGAGGGGAGGGGGGGGGGGGAGGGAAGGACGGAAGGACGGAAGGACGGAAGGACGGAAGGACGGAAGGACGGAAGGACGGAAGGACGGAAGGACGGAAGGACGGACGGACGGACGGAAGGAAGGAAGGAAGGAAGGAAGGAAGGAAGGAAGGAAGGAAGGAAGGAAGGAAGGAATCAAGGAAGGAAGGAAGGAAGGAAGGGAGGAAGGGAGGGAGGGAGGGAGGAAGGAAGGAAGGAAGGAAGGAAGGAAGGAAGAGAGGAAGGCTAAACATGCAGGCAGAGCGGTACTGTGCTGCGGAGTCTTTCCGCTTTTGAGAGGCACTTTATCCTCAGGGCAAACATTGCTGCAAGAAATAATGCACTCCTGCATAGCCCACCAATCGAACAGTGCTGCTGGCCATGCTTTTTTTCGACGCTGCAGACAATTGCATGGGAGTTTCTGCCACCGGGCTGCTTCAGCGCTACTCCTAGAAAGTTCCGCGCCAACTACTCGCTGCCAAATGCAAGAACAAGCACATTCAGATTGCAGAGGGCTTGAAATTCCTATGATTTTCCACGTCGATTCCGCTTGTTTGCTGTGGGGTGGAGCTCCAAGGGTGAGTGGACCCTGAAATGAGCGAGCAGCTCGCCGGTCCAATCGCGAGCAGCTCCTTTTTGAGCTGTTTGGCTTTTGTTGTTGATGTGTTGTTGCCTATTCACATGATTGGCCTGTTGCGACAATTCACCTGGTTGTGGATGTTGCTGCTTTAATCTCCTTGGGTCTTCCAGTAAACCACCAGCCTACACATAGCCGCCTGGAATCTGGGGTATGAATGACCGTCTGGCCCCTCAAGGAGCTCCTAGCGCAGCAGGAGGCTGGAGCCCGCAAGCCGCAAGCTGCCGGGCCGTTGGCGAGAACCCATCGTCCTGAAGGCTTTGTCTCACCAATGCATTCTCCCTCCCTGAAAAATATCATTCGCGATCTCAAAGCTGGCCGTCACCACTACCACCAGCACCACCACCACCACCACCACCACCACCACCACCACCACCACCACCACCACCACCACCACCACCACCACCATCACCCACCACCCACCACCCACCACCCACCACCCACCTCCCACCACCCACCACCCACCACCCACCACCCACCACCCACTACTCACCGCCCACCGCCCACCGCCCACCAACCACCGCACCGCCCACCACCCGCCACCCACCACCCACCACCACCCACCACCCGCCACCCACCACCAACCACCACCACCCACCACCACCCACCACCACCAACCACCACCACCACTACCATGGCCACGATTGCATTCATCCAATGAACAGCATCATCTACCGTTGTTTGAGGCTAGAGGGCAATCGTGAAGACAAGGGAGGACCTCTAAACATCGGAACTACAACGTGCTCTTTCCTTTTATGTTCTCCAACGGATTGGCTTGATATGTCATCATCTCTGCTGCGTCTCGAGCCCGGAGCCCAAGAATGAATTCCATTTCAAAGATTCCCGGGCCATTGAAGAGCTGGAGCTCTCGCCCCTTCTTTTCGTGTACCGCCATGTGAGAAAGGGTTTCGCTAGCTCATGGGAATCACCAGTGACACCCAAAAAGCAAGCAACTGGCCACCGATGAGCGCGGGACTTGCTAAAGCACCTCCCCGCTTCAGGAGGCCCGGCCGGAGATTACCGACTTGGCCATAATGCCGGAAGGCCGGACGAAATCGCCTTGCCCTGCCCATTACACATCCCTCCGAAAGGCTTTATTGTGCCGAAACCAGAGACCAGCAGCCCTACGATTTGGAGTCTCACCCGCACAAGCATCAGGACAACTTTTTTACAACCATTCGGGTAGCCTCAGCATTGCATTCAACGGAGCAGAAAGTAGGGAACGAAAGGTCAACCATGAGATTGACACAAGCCCCCCTGTTGCCTAGGTAAAGTCATAATTAGTTTGCTTAAGTTGTTTCCTACCAAGTTTCTCTTGACCAAAGCCGACCCTTTCTTCTCGCTTCCAGCTTTGATGTCAAGTCTTTGTCCCAAAAAGGGTGACCTTGAGTTCGATGCCTTCGAGTGAGCATGGTCCTCCATTGTGGGGGCAGGGACCAGGCTTCTGATCCTGTTTCATCCTTCTCAGAGTGACCTTCAAAGTCACGCAAACAGTCGACGCCCCCCCCCCAAACAAAGAGAACAAACACACAACTGACTTGAACGTCCCCGTCGTCTCACACCGAGGGGAGCATGAGCAGCTCGCCTGGGAATGGCTGAAGAACCTCGATGGCGGACGCGGCTCCCTGCAGGGACCTCAGGGCTCTCCCGCCTGTCCCCACCCTCGGTCGCCCAAAACCAACCAACGACCAACCCTCAAAACCCCGCTGAACTCGTCCTGAACCCAGCCTAAACCTAGGCTCAATTCCCGAATTTATCGTAGCTGAAACCAAGCCTAAACCCGCGGGCCACTCCGGACCCAACTTTACCCTTTACCAAGGGTACCCCCTGCCTCAATCCATAAGCCAAGTGGAGCTCTTGCGCACTTTTGGCCAAATCGGATTGCACCCCCCAAAAAACCTCAACTCAACGGCTATCACCTGTTGTGAGGGTCCAAGTTTCGTGTGTACTGGGTTGGCCTAGAGCATCTTGCTGGATGTTTTCGAGAAGGCCGGATATCCAGGGTACCTCTTTCGTGGTGTTTCATCAGACATACTCTCACAACCAAAATTCGCATGGCTGCGCCCAATGCTTCCAGGTTTCACTGTGGGTAACTACCAGCATTCATTGATATTGCTTTTCGCGTGGTAAAGCAATATGGTTTCCTATGCTTACCGAGTTCCATGATGGTAACGGGAATCACTGGGCAAGGTGTGTGCCCTCTTTCAGTCGAGAATTGAGAATGCGCCAACATACAATGCTCGTGTTGGCGAGTTGGACCCCGGAAGGAAAGGGCTTTTTCTCGCCGTGTTCAAGGAGAGCGGAGATTTTACCTGGACCTGTTGGTGAAAGGCAGACGAAATGAAACAGAGGAGGCGAACTTCGGGTAGCGGCTAGCGTGTCAGAGGCTCAACCATGGCTTTGCCTTTGGGCTCCGAGGCTTCGGTACTTTACGGTGCTGAGGCCGGCCGGCTGGGGTCCCACGGGTCGCTTTGCGTGACCCCATGCACTTCAAGTGGAGGGACCCTTGGAACTCCATTTCATGGGATTCCGTCGCTTTCTAGGGAAGGTAGACAAATAGAACTGGTCAGCCCAAGGACCGGTTGAAGCCCACAAGTCCGAAGAGGCATGGAGAAGCAAAGACATGGCGAAGGACCTGAGCTATGCGGGTGGTAGAAGCTTGATCCTTGTCAAATGCGGAGTCTCCTGGCTCTGAACTGAGCAACCTGCAAAGCATGGGTTACACAGGCATGACTGCCAGCGGGCCTCTTACTACTTAGGAACAGACATAGCTGAGTAGGCACACTCTGGTGACCAGTGTCGCAAGCTTGGCTGCCAGTTTCCAGCCTAACGCGATTTAAAGTTGAATCTTGCGAAGGATGGTTCGAGTTCGTGCTTACCTCTTTGTGCCTGCTCGGATGTGCTAACTGGGAAGGGCCGAGTACGGCTGCAAGGTACGAGGCCATGTACTTCCTTGGATTTGCATGTGCGTGTGGTCGGACTTACTCCCCTGATCAACATGGGACCCCAGAAGCCAACCTGCGGAACCAGGGGACCCCATGTCGGGCTCCTTGCTAATTTACAGGGAGCAAAAAGAAGCCAGACACTCGCGTAGCCAAGAAACCCATCGGGATCAACTCACCGACTGTAGGCACCCCGACTGATTCCAAAACGGGCCGTGGTCTTCTTTGACTCATTGTGCAATCAGTTCACGGAAACACATCCTGTTCAGCAATTACTCTTTTCTGATAAGTATGAGAAGAAACATGAGTTGTCTTGGTTCATATCAGAAAAGAGTCGTGATTAATTGGGGTACCCTCCCTCCCACTAACATGGCACTAGTGGGAGGGTATTTTCAAGATCAAATTCCTCTTGGAGGGACCAATTCCCTGTGAGATGCCACGGCAACGTGGGAGAGAGGGTAAAATCGGATCTCCCGAGTCCTCGGTTTTCCTCGGAGCCATCGGCCAGCGGACGAACTCTTCGCCAGGGATGAGTTCGACTGCGACTTCGCGCAGCTCGCCGCAGCCAAGCGCGCCGGCGGCACTTGGATCGCCCCAAAAGGGGGCCGACCACCGGGCGCCTTTTGGGGGAAATGGGTTGATTCGAACGCTTGTGGGGTATGGAAGATATTTACCTAGAAACTCTTGACGAAATATGGCAAACAATCGCAATAAGCAAACATCTGTTCCTTTTTTTGACAGTCCAGGTATATGTTCATTAGATGCGCCTCCAATGTTTGAATCAAGTCGGCTAACCACAAGAGAATGACTAGTTCCCCCAGTAGTGCCCTTTTACCCTTTTTTTGGGGAGGGTTCCCCTACTAAAATAGATTACAGAAAAAAGGTACCCTTATTCTAACCTCTCTACTGGAGGACCTAGATGAGTTGCACACCTAGTTGGTTCAAATTTAGTCATCGGAAGCATTGGATGCAGGTCTGGAACTGGAAGTCGGGTTGGCCAATTCTGGAGTTCCAGAGACCTATTCCTATCTGTTTCGGGTGTGCACCAAAGGGCTGGCCTCAATGCAAGTTTCCTGCGGCCAAGCATGCAGAGTCTCACTTCCTGAGTTCCTGGACTTGATGTTTTTGGGCTTGGACCATAGTGGCACTCAGAAAGTTTGGTCGCCGTCTTTGGGCACATCCGCTGCATCGGAAGTGAGTAGTTAGCCTTTCTCTTCACGCAATTCATGGGGATGCTGGACCGCCAGCCAGTCGCCAGCCGACCGAGGCTGGACAAGCCACTCTCCCCTGGTGCGCTTGGACATTTGGAGCCCTCCTTCTTTGAGGCACGAGCTGCCCATCTTCCGAGCAAAATGTGGCCACGGGCGGGTGAGATATCTCTTTCGGCTTTGGAGTTGGGTTGGAGCGAAGCCTGAAGGACACCTGCCATTTGTTTAGCGTTCCCAAAACTTAAGACATACACGCATCGGGCTGCATAGCTGGTTGTCAAAAGTAGGGAGCTCCTTCAAAGGCGAGTCAACATGCAACGCGGGTCGAACAATACCATATGCTTGACATCCCTGTGCGTACCGTTTTTTGGATCCCATGGTAACCCCCAGTCCTGTTATTTCAGTTTGACATGGACTGGAAAGCAAACACTGCAATCCAATATGGCGGAGCAAAAACACGACAACGCTGCATAGATACTTCATGAGAAGCATAGCTGCAGCAAACAGCTCTGACTCATAAATGGTCTGCGGGCAAGATCGAAATGTGAAGAGATTGTATAAGCGTGATGAGATGTTGAGCTAAAAATAATGTAAAAGGGGATTTGAGATGTCCGTTCCATGAACCGGCCAAGCAAGTCCCCTTGCATGCAGCGTTGCTGAACGATGGGAGCGAATCGCAGCGTGGACATGAGCAGAAAAACAACTTTGCCCTCGCGGTAAGTGTACCCTGCCATGACTCGTATAGGCTTGTATGTCAAACCCTGAGAAACAATTGGCGAGAAGATACGAGAACATAAGACAAATTGCATCAAATGATTAGTTAAATCAAAGCGCAGCATTTCCACTAAAGCTTTGAAGGATGCCTGGGCACTGGTGTCCTCTTTGCCTTTCTTTCAGGCTAATTCAAGAACTGGTTCCTGATTTGAAGGTCCCCAACGCCTGCACGTGTGGTACACGGGTTGGATAGGCAAATGACACCGGGCATATTGGATGGCTTGCCAGCTACGAGGACTAGTACCTAGAATTCAAGTTATGCCAGATGCCACCCCACGTGTATTGCTTTGTTACTGTGCGCGGATGTGTGTGTATATGTTTATTTGCGTGTGTGCTTTATCGCGTTCGAGGTCAACCTCATGCTCCTTGGGTCACCTAGGGCATGTTGGTTACATTTATCTTTCAGAGACCGTGGCTTACACAAAACAGATGAGTTGCAGAAAAGTTGCTAGTGCTGTTTGGTTCTGTTTCGTGGATAGATTTGGGTGTGTACTTTTTTGAGGGTACCCCTTTCTTGCCAAAGGAGGACCAACAGGAACGCCCAACATGGGGTCCGGATAGTAGAAAAAAGACCGCCCTCCCCATGCGAATCCCAGCTGCCAGGCCTTAGGTGTGGAGCATGTGGGCCATCGCCTGCTGTTGGCCCGGGGCATCCTGGCGCTGGAGGGGTAGAGGCGGCCAGGGGAGGGGAGCGGTGGGAGTGCAACTGAGGGACTCTTTCGATTTGCATGGGTTGATCTACTGATGCTGCAAAAGGCATAATAAGTTGGCTTATTCCAGGCTGCTTGGGTTTTGGATACCCATTTGACATGTGTGTGTGTGTGTCTGACCTCAAGACGTATCTGAGGAATCTTGTATGATGTCTGACACTGATGATATGCCATAACAGAACCCTGCACTCGTCTCATGTCGTGCTTGTCAACATTTGCACATGTTTGAAGGTGCAAACCTGCGTCTCAACGCTCGCCGGGAAGGACTTGCCCAGATGACGTGTTGATCCGATTACGGGCCACAGAACAAGCTGAAGCCCTCCAGTCGGTGTCATGCCGGCCTTCAAATCCAACCAAAGCGTTGCACATGAAGAGAGACACGGCCATTTAGCTTTGTCTTTCGACATTTTGAGCACCCTGAAAACTATTGGTGTCCTTCTGGTTTTCCTTAAGCAATCCCAAAAGAGGTACCGACGGGGGGTCAGAGTTGGGCCTACTCAAGTAGTCTCTCAGTGGTATTTCTTTCTTAGTCCTGGTTTCTTTAGATTTGGTCGGTTTAGTATTTAATTGTTGAGTATTCCTCGGTATTGGCCCAGAGACCTTTCTTTTCTGTATTTCCTCCTCTTAAGCATTCAGTATTAGCTTTCCAGGGCTTCGCTGTACACTCTCTTGAAAATATGTCAGGGTAGCTGCTCAGTAGAGGGTGTCAGAAAGAATTGGCTGTTTGGGGCCTCAGTTGCGTTTTGCTGGCTCGGGATTGGCTTAGTATTGGTTTAGTACTAATTAGTCTTGGTTTGGTATTGATTAGTACTAGTTCAGTATTGCCAGGGCTTGGGATCATATTTTTCTGAATCACACACCCGCACGGGCAGCCATATTTTTTCCAGCGCAAAAAAAACACCTGTTTTTCTTGTTGCATTCCCCTTTATCTTTTCAGGGTGGGGCATATTTTTGCGGGAAAGTGCTGTTGATTTGCGTCCCGATTTACAAATCGCTGCCCGACATCATGCAGTTGAACTGTGTGCAGATGGAGATTGTTTGAATTCAAGACATGTCAGCCTCGTGTTAACAAAAGTGTCCCCCCTCTAGCATGTGCCTTTGATGTTGAGGGGGTCGAAGTCAAAAGACTCCAGGTCCAACTTATAGTATGTTGGATGTGCCAACTTGCTCAACTTGAAGCAATGCAATGGCCATAGGTAACCGTTGATTGATGTCACGCAACAAAGAAGAACCAACCACGTCGAGGGTTGATGTAATCTGCAAGCTGGGTCTGTCCTTTTTTGAGGGTACTCCGTTTTTCGTTGCTTTAAAGGAAAACCAAGAGGAACGTCACCCTCCTGGGGAGGGGGGGGGGTCTCCTAAAACACACCCAACTGGTTCGGTTTCAGCTGCGCTTTCAGGCCTCGGCGATGCTCGAGACGCTTGTGCGCGCGAGCAAGAGCCCTGCAGTTTCTTTGAAAGCGAATGGAACTTGCCTTGTGACCGGAACAAAAACACGAAGCCAATGTCCATGTTCACCCCCCATCAGACGAGTTTCCCAAGGTTTCCGACCCCTCCGCTCTTCCGCGCTTGAGAAACTGCCAAGACCAGGCTTTGTAGGAACTCCTGCATTTGCACGCAGGCAAAACATGCCGCGCCTTTTTGCTGTTTGATGCGCGTCTTGTTACTCGTCGGAGAGGTGTGACATGCCATTTGGGTGTGGCTTATTTTTTGAGTTGGTACCCCTTTGTTGTGGTTTTAAAGAGAAACAAAAGGAAAACCACCAATGTAGTGGGTCCCCTAAAAAAGACATATCCATTTAAGGGCCAACAAACTTTTGACATGCAAGCGATGGCGGGCTATACATGAATGACTTCACTGCGATGAATCTTTTGCGCACGATCGGTTTCTCTCGGCTCAAACAATGAATCGGTGGCGGGGTACTGCGAACGGATACACGGGTGTGTGTGTGTGTGTGTTTTTTGTGTCTCCTAAAGAGGACACTCCCAAATCAAACGAACTGGATTTCTTGCCAGCGACATGTCGCCGGAATTTTGCAAAGGTGGATGCTTGGTATCGCCGCTTTGGCTCAGGGAGAGTCTGAACCCACACCCCACGTCCGAGAGCTAAGCGCCAAGAGGCAGGCCAAGCCGATTGAGAAGTGAGAGTTATAAGGGTATATCCCAAGTTTCCTTAAAGGCAAGCATCCAAAACATCGTGTTTCAAACGGGATGGCCCAAATCAGCTGGAAACCTGTTGCAGATGTTTCTGTGGAGTGTTCTCTTCTGAGCAGACGTGTTGTCATTTTCTATTTTGGTGGGCTAGATGTTGGGCGTAGATGTGGGAGCACCATCGCAGCTTTTAAACTGCCAGACATCGCTTCCGGTCAACAAATTGGCGCGGTTACAGGTGACCGCTTATACCTTTCACTTACGAGAGAAGTAAGGAAGCCACCATTCAACAAGGGTCAACCCGTCGATACTTCAGGGGTCTTATTTTTCTTTGTCTGGCCGGATGCAGACAGCACCTTTTGTTTGACTTGTTTGTTTCTGTGGCACGATGATGTTTGCTTTGGCCAATTGTAGTTTGGACCCTGCGACTGCTAGTCTTGCCAAAGGGACCCCTCTAGGTATTGGCATTCTTTTAAAGCAACACCCATTTTATCATTTGGGGGACCGAGTTCGGTTTTTTCGGCACCGAGCGGCCGGAAACACCAACTTCCAGGTTTGCGGTTCCCTTTCCAAAGCGAGACCACAAGAAGCAGCCTCAACAGCCAGAGTGGAACACAGCCCCTGTTCGTGGGTTGCGGGGATTTTGCTTTCCGGGATTTCTGGGCACCAGGCTTTAATTTGCGGACCTTTGCTAGGGATAAGGGATTAGTTATCAAAGGCCCCAAATCATTTCAGAGGGTCGTTTCGAAGCCCGGTATCTCCTAGTCCATGGGGTATAGGGCCTCACTCATGGATGCCCAGTCGGCTTAGCCATCCGTGGGATCCTGGCCCATATGCCCAAACCAGGGTCGATCCAAGCATGCTGCTTTCAGGTTCTCCTCCAAAGTGTCCCTGGCTTTGTCGCACGTCACTAATATAAAAACTGTATAAATCCCCCTCCCATTCATGGGCCGTTCCGCTTGGTTATTCGCGGATTCCTGCCCCCGTTTTGTCATACCCGGTACGTAATACGCCACGTCAGGAAGCCATGGCGCGTGGAATCATCAAGCACCTGAAGCGCATGTATGCGCCCAAGCACTGGATGCTCGACAAGCTCAGGCGCGCCTGCTCCCGAGCCCCGGGCAATGGGTGTGTCTTCAGGAGCCCCCCTTGGTTTTCCTTTGGAAACCACAAATAGAAAGGGGTACCCTCAAGAAAGACACCCCCACATGGAGGGGAGGAGCGAGGGGAAATGAGGGAAAAACAAAAGTCGGTGGTTCAGTGCTTTCAGTGGTTCAAACATGTCGAGAAAGCAATTGCCAAGGGCTGAAAATGCTGAAATTCAACTCCATTTTCCTATTTGGATGTTTAGATATGTCTGTCCTCCCGGACGCCAAGAGCTGGTGGATAATTGGTCAAGACTCTCTTGGAGTTCGGGTAACGGAGATTCGTAAAACTTGTCTGAGGCGCAGGCACGCTGGCCAGCGTCCTTGACTTGGTGGTTTAAGTTGCACAGGATTCCGCGTGTTGTTTTTCGTCTCGTAGACCCTCAGTCTACACCTGCCCAGTGCTTTCAGGCAAGCTACCATGGTAGGTAACCAGTAGTTGTCAACCATCAATGGTAAAACTAGGGGAAACCATGTAAAAACCTAGAGGTACTCGTAAGACCCCCAAAGGGCTAAATCCCTGGTTCCTGGTATAAGTTCCCTAAGTTCCCCCTGGAAAGCCCAGTTACCTGGAGGTACCACTGGAACCCGTGGAAACCCGGCCCGGAGCGAGCGTCAGGGGCCGTTGGGCACCGAAGCCGAATGCCGGGCCTCACAAGCTCCGGGAGTGCATGCCCCTCATCGCCGGGGCGCTCAATTGGATGCGTCCAACGCGTGCGGCTGAAGAGACGAGAGACGTGGCGTCCCGGAAGGAAGCCGAGGGGAAGAAATTCCATGGCTGTTGTGTGTTTAGGGTGCCCCTAGGTTGGGGTTGTTTTAAAGGGGTTGTTTTAACGGGGTAAAGGGAACCACTCCATTCTGGGGCCTATTTCAAGACACAGCCCGATGTTCTGCGAGGCGATGCACTATGTTTCAGAGGATCCCACTTGTCCCTATAGGAAACCAGCCATTTGCCCCTTGGCTTTAAAGGGAGGTTGCCTGGTTACTGTACCTACGCAGGGAAATGGAATCACTCTGTGTGGTTAAGGGGCTTGTCATGCCAACAATCTTTATGATGCTCAAGAACAGTTGCCACCGCTATGTATTGGCTTCGGCTTCGCTTTTGTGGGGGGCAATAGCAGTGCATCACTCACAAGTTTGATGAATGAAATCGGTATTCGACAGAAAGATCTCCCATTTCAGGACATGCCTAAATGAAGCGACTCAACATTGCGATGCACCTAAGGGTTTCTTGGTCAAACACTAAACCAGCGAGATCGGCACAGACAACATCATTGCCTTCAGTGCCATTCCTGCTTGAATGCATGCTGTTTGGAACAGAAAACAGCTACAAATGGCTTGATAGAGTATGGTCTTCCTTAAAATATCCAACGTGGGTCCCCAATTTCAGGACCCCGATTCTGAATCGGAGCTGCAGTTGTGCGCGTTTGTGCTATTGACCAGCGTGGCCAATATACGCATTCGCAACGGGCCCCTCTTGCCACGAACAGCAAACAGCAACGATGCGCAGACGCGAATAACCATAGCAATCATAGCAACAGCAAAGATAGCTGTGGGCCTTGCGCCAGGTTGTGCCAGCCTGGCTTCCCTCTGTGACACATCTGACGGAGTGGCAAATAAAACGGGGCCTGGGCCAAGTCGAGAGAGGTCTCCGTGGATTGATAAACTGGGATTCTTCTTCAACCCCTGCAGTACGGTGTTACAGTGCAGCTAGGTCCCCCAGTAGTACCCTTTTAACCTTTTTTGGGAGGGTTCCCCTACTAAAATAGACTACAGAAAAAATGGGTACCCTTATTCTAATCCCTCTACTGGAGGACCTAGGCAGTTTAGGCAGGCCAGTGGCAGACCAACCATCGCAAGGTCATGCTCCGCCAGCGGCTCAAGTATGCCCTCACCTACCACGAGGCATGGGAAAATCGGAACACATTGCGCCACACTCGCCCCATTCTGCCATGGGTCAAACACAGTTTCCATTGGCTTAAGAAGGTGTATGTTTCCCCGGTTGGATTTCAAGGGTAGTATCACTACTGGACATGTTCTTTTTGTTTTTCCAGGGGGCGTATCCACAAATGGAGGGTTGTCTTTGGAGCCTGGATGCCTCTTGCGGGTTTGAAGATCCTATCAGGTCATCCGTTTCAAGAAGCTACCTTCATCAATACCCTGCACTGATTTGAGAAGTGGCTCCTGGGATTTTTCCTGATTTGAGTATCGCATATGTTTGACTTCCCATAAAGGACTCCGCAATAGTAGCGATGTGGTGTTGGAATGTTTGTACGTCTTTTCGTGTCTGGGGTCGTGGTTCAGAAGAGCGAGTCTGCTCTTGTTACCCCTAGGGGCACTGCCATGCAGCAGCGGAGGAACCATTGGCCTTGCGATTTGAATGGTGTGTTCGGATCGTGTCAGCTCGATTAGCGACTCAGTCTCCCATCAGATCACCCTTCAAATCCCTGTTTGCTTAGGTTCGCCACTAAAAAGGGGTCCTCAAAAAGGCTTTACTTGCACTTTTTCCTTCTGGGTCACTGGACAAGTTGCCAGGTAAAGATGATCGTCATGCAGCGCCTGATCAAGGCAGGGATGGGGGACATATATATATATATATAATATATATATATATACACACACTACTTTTATACACTACATATCCATACACACACGTTGCACCGCCTATCGCCAGGTTCTTGCCATTTCCACTTGAGACATTAAAACACACAACCTGGCCCAAGAAATCACGGCTGAGATCACCTGAAAGGCCTGTTGTGTCTCCGCGTGCAGTTGTCGAAAACCCGCTGGCATTTGTGTGTCTGTCTATGTCGTGTCTATGTGAAGTCGTGATCCTGCGCCACCTATGGGTTTGCTTGAAAATAGGGAACACTCAAAACAGGTGGTTTGCTTTTGGTTTGCCTTTAAAACAACGCCCAACAAGGGTGAACCTCATATTAACAGAAGCTCCAAACTCTGGTACAAAATATACATGTGCAGCTGCATTCGTGACTTGTATTTAAAAACAGAGCGGCCAACACAACACCATGACTGCAGACTTGTTTAAAAGTGAGCATGGATTCAACTTGGCAAGATCCGGGGCAAGTTCACAGGGCCTGAATCCTAGATCACAATCCTCCAACTTGTTTGAGGGATATTGGGCCCGAGTTGGGAGGCTTCGCACCCCATCTTGTTGAATGGCAAGGAAGAACGAAGCCTTCTTTCTGTACTCAAAATTGCAGACCCTTCAGTAAGAGAAGTCACGCGACAGCAAAGGCAAGCCTTGCCTGCCGCCCGGTTGCAGGTGGATGGCAAGGTGCGCACGGACATGTTCTACCCCGCGGGCTTCATGGATGTGGTGAACATCGAGAAGACAAAGGAGAACTTCCGACTGCTCTACAACACCAAGGGAAGGCGCGGCGGCTTACGTGCCCCATGGGCCCAAAGGCTATGCCACGGTAGGGAATTTGACGGCTTCCCTTGGTTTCAAGTACAACGGTTGTCTTGGACTCCACTTGGACATTCAAATGGAGTGCTGCCTGCCTCCAACTCAAGTTGCATTCCGCCCGAAGGAAAGCAAGGCTATGGACAAGATCCGAAGCACCACTTGGCTTGCTCCAATATTTACAGGGGTTTATCATCCCAACTGGTGCGAGAGTATTTTTATCCATCCACATCTTACTTTCTAGTTGTCCCTACCAGATAGAGGTTGACTACCCTTGGCTTCCTTGTTAGCAGAAATACTTTTGGAGTTTGGGCCCCGAACAGAACGGGGCGACTTGTGTTTTGTGTTCAACACATGTTTGTGTGTGTGTGATTTTGTTTAGTGGTGTTGCCCAAGCACATCGGCCAGTGGATGATTCACGCACATGCTGGCCGGGTTGGACTAGTTATTGATTGAGATACACGAGCTGAGGCGGAGGGGTTGTTGCGCATATTCAGTTGGCTGCGTCTCTTTTTGGGTTGGACCAAAATGAGTGGTTTTCGTTTAACTAGCCCCACAAAGGGAACCCAGAAAACTAGACACACCCAGTTGTTGGCCAGTTTGAGATTCCAGCTATCTAGTTTTGATGCATGGCCCCTAAGTATTTACCTCTTTTTCAATAGGTTCTTCGGGGTTAGATGCATGCCGCTGCATGCCGGTCAAGACTTTTGGTTTTTAACCTTTGGCGCAGCCGGTGCTGACTGCCGCTGTAATGGTCAAAGCTCGTGGGTAACGGCTTGCGGCTTCCTCCTGGATTTGCAGGTTCAATCTCCACAAGGTGACAAAGGAGGAGGCCTGGCGCAGCGGAGCCCGGGTTCGGCCCGATGCCTTCCTCGTATTTCTTTTCTTGGTTCGCTTTTTGAGCCAGCGCAGGGCGCTATTTGTTGGTTGCCGTCAGTTGGTTTGCAACGGCCTGTGTGGGCTTCTGGCAACGTGGACCTTGTTGAAAGGAGGCTCATTTCCTGACCGCTTTGATTCATAGGGCTTGTACTGAGGGACTTTGTAAATGTTTGCAAACACGGCTAGAACGGCTTGAGTTTGTGCGGAAGGCGATCACTGCGTTGCAAAGCAAACATGTTTGGTTTGCTGCTGTAAAGTTGGAAGCTGTTGATTCCGACAGTCCCAGGCTGGCGCTTTGTTTGCGTTCGTTGAGCAGGCATCTAGCTTGCGGCATGAAACCGGTGGCCCAAGCATTCAGCAAAAGGGATCGCACCAGGGCTTTCCAAGGTGCAACGCTTGGCCCCATGGCCCGATGAGAGCCATTCCTTCTTTGAGGTCCTAGGCACAGACAACCAGTGTTGGTGTGGCTAGCAACATGAAAAGGAACCATGCCTCGTCGCCGCATGTTCGGTTTTGAGTGCAGCTCAATGAAGATTCAGAAATGGCTATGATTTTTCACCTGGAACCACTTCCAACATGGTTGGTGGACATGAACCCCATCTGAATGATGTCCACCAAAGGGTCCTCAATTAAAATTCACACCCAACGAGCGCCAATTGGTGACGTAGCTTGTCACATGCAAAGTAGTTCTTTCCCTTCACACCTCATTACTCATCCACCAAATGCATAGTGCCCAGACGGTAATCTTCCTTTTTCAGGCTTCGCTTTGCGTGCAGAGCGGACCTTTTGGGCAGAGGGTGCATCTGGCTTTCTAAGATGAGTTGTGGCTTGGAACTGGCGAACTGGCGAACTGGCCAATGCCAGGCTGGCTACAAGCTCTGCCGGGTGAAGCGGGTCTTGCGCGGACCCAAGGGTGTGCCCTACGCGGTCACCCACGACGGCCGCACCCTGCGGTACCCTGACCCGGACATCAAGGCGCCGGCGGTAGGGTCGAAGCTTCAAGGCCATGGCTATGAGTCTTGACTTGGAATCCCTTGGAAAATGGTTGGTGGACAAAACTCCCTAACATAATGTCCGGAGGGACTCCAATTAAACAAAACAAAACATACCCATTCGACATAACGCCTTGACCAGTCTCGGGCAAGAGTCCTTGGGGTTCGCGGGAACAATGAGAGTAGTCATCATCACTTGCGCGCTTCTGCTCTTTGTAAAACATTGATTGGGACAACATGGTGGTGTCATCTTACTTGTTTCACAGTTCTTCAGGGATTCCTTTCTCCCAGACATTGCAACATGGATCTTGTCTTGTTGGTTTATGTCCGCGATTCTTGGTTTCACTGGAGGTTTAAAGGGTTTTCTTCCAAACAACTAACCCGAAATCAGGCAGGCTTACTTGGCCTGATCAGATTCATCATGCACCCAGTCCCTGCAATTTCTTCGTTCAGTCAAAAAAAACACATGCTTTGACCCTGCCCCCGCCCACAAGCAAGCACCACTTTTGGTCTCGGCGGCAGTTTATCTACAATATTGTCCCCTGTTACCAGTGGGTGGCACGCGAAGAAAAACACACATGATTGCCGTGGAGTTGTCCAATCTTAAAGCATAGGAGCCGTACCATTTGGTGTCCCACTTCAGTACTTCCCTGTACAAAGCCACAGACGCGGTTTCTCAAAATGTTTTTTTTGGGTTTTTTCTGTTTTCGGGTTGGTGGCTTCAGGGAAACCAAAAAGAAACCAGAGGAAACCAAAGGAAGCTAAAGGAGACAGCCCATGTTTCGCAGGGCCCCCTGCGAGAAAAAACGGCTTTGCGCCTAGGCGAACGACACGGTGCGTCTGGAGCTGAGCACTGGCAAGATCCTGGACCATGTGAAGTTCGAGACGGGGAACGTGGTGATGATCAGCTGGGGCCTAAAAGGGTCGAGATGGGTCTGTGTTTTTTTTTTGAGGGTGCTCTTTTTCTGATTTGGTTTGAAGGCACATGCATGAATGCAATCTGGGTCTGGTTTTTGGGTTTTGTTTGAAGCCGCGCCAAATTAGGAAGCACTTTTTTTTGGCAGGGGTCCCCTGTTTTGAGGCCACATGTGCGAATGCAATTGGGGTCCGGTTTTTGTTGGATTGGTGTCGGTTGTTTCAGGATGGCGGGGGGCAAGATGGGGGAAGCGGGTTATTCTTGTACACATGCGTGGGCGTGGGGTTGAGTCCCTTGCAAAGCCTGAGGCGGTGGAAACAACATTGGCCGAGTGGGTGTGATCACCCACGAGGAGAAACATCCGGGCTCCTTTGAGATGGTGCACATCAAGGACTGCCACATTCCCAATCTTCGCAATGCAAAAATAAACAAGCGAGAAGTATCATTTCTCCATGACTCACTTGCCGAGGACATGCAGGCTTTGTTGAGGGTACCTCGTCTTTTGGTTTAAAGGGAAACCACAAGGGAAGCCGCCCTTGTTTGGGGCTCCTAAAAGCATGCACGCACACACACACCCATACCGCGACCACAATGTAGTCCGACCAAATGCCCCCAGGGACATGAACCCGAACTTGCCCCTGGCCCACTGGCTACGGCCGGGTTGCTGCACGTTGACTTGCACATGTCACACAAAGACGCCTCAAAAATCACATTTTGGGCTCGAGGCCTTGTATTCTGGAATGCATACCGCGAAAGTGACTTTTTAAACGGCTCTGATGTTCAAGGTGGCGATGTTGCTGGATTGCATGGATGGGATCCCGGGCCAAGTGAAAAGAGCAGGGTGCCTGTATTTGTAGTTTGACAATGTTCCGTGTTTGCAAGGAGCAAGCAAACATAATTAATGTTGAGGCTGCTGCCCCAGCCAACTCAGGATATGACCTATCTATTATCAAATTGTGCCTTTCGGGGAATTACCTAACCGCAGGCGTTTGTTTATTTGTTTAGCTCATAGGTGTCTTCTGTGTTTGGTTTGCTTGGAAATATGGCCCTGGTAGATGAATAAACCAGGTAAACCAGGGCCATCTATTTTCAACCAAAGGTTTAACTACGCCTTTCTTGCGTCGCAGGATTCCGCCGGCCATAGCTTCAACACGCGATTGGAGAACGTGTTCGTGATTGGCCAGGCAGTTGGAGGGCGACCCGTTCAGGTCCCCCTGACCAAGTCGAGTTGTTTTTTGTTTTTCTTAGGGGTATCCAATTGATTTTCCTTTAAACGACCAAACAAGGGGTACCACTCAAGAAAACAAACACGCATTCAGAAACCCTATTTGTATCGCAACGGGTCCCTTAGGTGAATCCTGCCCAAAGGGTCGTTGATATTGGGGTTCCAGCCTATTTGGATTGACAAGTCTCTGGAGCCACCGCAACTCAGGAAACTCAAGCGTTCGTTCTTGTTATTGTTGGTTTTCATACACCACAAAGTGTGCCAGCGAGCCACAAGCGCTACATCACAATTCATTGCAGAGACTTCGTGTAAGAGACATGCGACGTGTGGATATTTCTGGGGCTGGAAGAGGCATGTTGCTCTAGCCTTTTTCAGCCTTGCGCCGAGCCCCAGTGCAGCCGCTGTGGCCCTGAGTTAAGTACCCCAATCACCAGGTCAGCCCTGAGTAGAATACCTTGTTGTGTGTGTGAGTGTGACACAATTTTCAAGCTGGTTTAATGTATGCTATGGTGCCAGGCGGGCACGCCCCTGAATTGTCTACCAAGATTCAGACAAGTCCGTGACCCGCAGTGGGGCCCCCACTGAAACTGGAATATAGTCACATCCCTGCATGATTGCCTTTCTGTCTCCCCTGCCACTTATCTCTGTGTTTTCTTTCTCTTGGCCCATCATTTCGTTTTGTTCCTGGTCGTCAATGTGCTTGGTTTTCCCGGCATCCGCTGGCATCTGGCGGCGCTGACCCGCCGTGAGAATTATGAGTTCTTTCATGATCAGGTGTCCCTTGGTTGGTGGTTTGCATTGGTCCCTGAGTGGAAATCCATGTTGGTCCCCAAGACAGGACGCACCCATACTTGGGAACCCTTAGTTTGTTGGTTTGCATCGGTGGTTTGGATTTGGAATTGAACCCTGGTTCTTACAGAACGCACACGGGGGGAAACCCCGGAGCACCTCCAAACCACCTGGCTTCGGCTCCGGCTCCAAAGGACACCGTCGAACCCATCGGACTCTCTCTGCCCAGGGCAACAAGCCATGGATCTCGCTGCCAAAGGGAAACGGGATCAAGCTGAGCATTGTGGAGGCGCGATGTTGAAGTCTGGCGTGGTTTCGTTTTTGTTGTCTCAGGGAATGAGAATTTGGGGAAATGGAATGACCCACAAACCATCTCTTGTGGGTTCCCGAAAGGAAATGCCTAGGTTCATTCCCAACACCCTGACTCATTCCCTACTGAGCATCAGCGAGTCGTTTCCTCGAATGTGGGGATTTCATGTTCCATATTTCTTATGTCTTCGATGTGTTCCTGACAACTCGTGAGCAACTGGGCCCGGAACTCAGAACCGTGGCCATGCGCGAGACCAGGAATCCCCTTTGATTAGCGCAGACTGGTTGGTTGCAGCAGACGATGGTGGCTTCGATGAAAGCAATATCCCGCCAGTTTTCCAGCTGATGCGTTCATATATCTTTAGACGTTGCTTTGTATTGTCTGCCAGTAGTTGACGCAGTGAGTCGTTTGCTTTCTCCTTTAGCTCACCTTTGAGGTCTCTGGGTCTATGGGAGACCGGATTCAAATAGCACAGACGCTGATGCCCATTTTGGATGGGGATTCCCGGTATGTTCAAGGTAGTAGACTGAGTCACCGGTGACTTCCCGACAGGTTACCGTTGCCAGCCCAGATTGGATGCGGGACCTTCAGGGAGTGTCTCTCACTTTTCCCCAGTGGTTTTTGTTTTGGCCCACTAGTGGCCAGAAAGGACCACCTTCATTGCCAGGTCACGAAAGCTAGCTTTAGCTAGCTGAAGTTTCTCCTTGCGTAAGCAAGGTAAGGGGCTCAAATGCCGAAAGATTGATTTTTTCAATTATTTGAGCCGAAAAGATTGAAACACATCAATTATTTAGACCCCCCCCCCCTCCCCCCCCCCCGGGTCTCAGGCTCGATTCCTCCCTGGTCCATCCCCCCCCCCCGGGCAGTGGCTCAGTGTTCAGCAGTCTCGGTTTGCCCGTTTTGGACTTGGTGCTACGAACTTTTACATGTTCCACCGATTCAGCTTGTTCAGTTGAGACCTCAGTCTTCTCAGTAAACCACCTCGAGCTTCTGACGCCTGTCGTTGTTTTCATTTGTCAAGGTTTGCCACGCCACCATGTGCGTTTGCGTGTCGCATCCTACGAATCTTGCCGGGCCTCTCGTTGTACACAAGCTACCCATGAATCCACTCTGTCACCGACCCATCTCATGCAACAACTGCTAGCTTTCGTTCACCCGCTCCTCAAGTATTGACAGGCGAGACGCGCATGTGGTGCCTTCCTCACCCTCCAAGCAACTGCGTACAGTTCTTCGTACTGTCGTATGTTGGGGTTCTGCGGAACCAGTGGTGATCCATGTTTGGCCTTAAATTGGCTTGGCGTGTAGCATTGGCTCGGTTGGTTGCAGGTTGCTTGTTGGTTGGCTGGTTGGTCAGCTGGCTGGCTGGCTGGCTGGCTAGTTATTTGGTTGGTTGGTTGGTTGGTTGCTTGCTTGGTTGGTTGGTTGGTTCGGTTCGTCAATCGTTCGATTGGCGGGGAGTGAGGTTGTGACGTGTTGTGCTTCATTTAGACCCATTTTCGGAGCTGCTTGTTTGCTGCATTGCATCATGGTTCTTTCTTGCGCCGGGTTTGTGCAGGTTGATCTGGCTTTTCCCATGTGTTGGTGTGCGTCCAAATAGGGGACCCCAAAATGGTGGTTGTCCTTTTAGTTTCCCTTGAAACAAAGGGTGAAAGGATACCTTCAAAAGGGATTTGCTTGGGTCTTGGAGGCGGTAAAGGCTTTGACGCGTGCGGCAGGACCGCGCTCAGAGGATGACCAGGAAGTGAGCGGGGCGAGCGGATTTTGTGGGGACGGGAAAAGGCAAAGCGTGCGCGCTGCATGCGACTGGTTCCATGGCGACTTGCGCGTGAAACTCCCACCTTCACTGGCGAGAGGATTGCAAGGCAGTGAGAGACGCTCTCTACGAGGGCTTCTATTGCAGTTCGAAGGGAATCATTGGCCCCAGTCTGAGCTAGAATGATCAAGACATTGAGGGTTCCTGAATCTTTGGATTCCTTGCAACTCTGAGATCGCAGGGGTTTCATTTACGGCGCTTAAACTTTGCTTAAAGGTTTGCCTGTTGCTTTATCCTGGCTCCAGTCTTACTTATTGCCAGGAGTGGAGAAGGTGTTTCAGGCCAAACTAACCTGCTTTGCGCTAACAATCCGCATGAGATAGGATGGAAAGCCATTCGCCCCAATGGAAAGCATGCGTTTAGCCGGCGTGAAAGGAAGCCAACACGTGGTTTGTCTCAGTTTGCCCCTGCGGTTTTCACCAGTTGCCCTGAGTCACGGCATGGTGTTGCCAGTTTGGGAGCAACAGACCTGATCCCTTGAGACCCCAATGCAGCCGATGCCATGGCCGGCATGGTGCCGTACCAGGACTTTGCTCTCGAGAAATGGACAGAGAAGAAACACAAACATACAAGAGGCATCAATTAGCTTACCCGCACCGCCCGGACCCTCAAAGTTCCCTTACACATATTGTTTTTGCTGAAAATCATGGGGTGATGTCCCTTTTTGTTGGGTAGTTTGAGGGTTGAGTTAGTTTTCAACCTGACAGGATTGCTTCTGAATTAGGGTGTCCACGGGTTGCGGACAAAGTTTGAAGGCACCCGGCCAGGGTCTCTAATGGCTGTGTCAAATCTGCGTGCCAGTGACCCATCTCAAACTACCCGACTAGCCACTTCGCCTCTGGCTCAGACTGGCATTTCAGGCCGCAGTTTAGGTGAAGAGAGAAAGAGAGAAAGAGAGAGAAACTGTTTTTTCTTCCGTTGTCACCTTTTTTCAGTTTGTGTTGAAGCTTTAGGTGATGCTGGTGTGCTGCTACTCGTGTTGATGATCAATGCTGTTTCCAAAATTAGGTGTCAGGCTGGACGATGCGTAATTTACGAGCGTTGCTTCCGGGCAAATGCTTCAACCTGCTTCCCAAATACCGTTTGAAATCCGTAGGGCGCGCAGCATCAACTACGTTTTGCAAGGCAGATTTTGAAGGTCAGATGGCAACGTGACCACCCTGTTGGAGTATCGACACTGGTTTTCGTGGTAAAACAAGGGAAGCACTTGAATTCCGGGGTAACCGTTCAACAAAGCAAAAGTAGACAGAAGAAACCAGAAGTATCCCAAAAGGTCCCGAAGCAGCCAGAAGTACTCAGAAGTAAGCCTTAAACATACCACAAGTCGCCGTGTCAACTTCCAACAAGAAGCCCACACACACTGACAGACACCTGTCACGATCTTTTGCTTCCGAGCCCAAAGCTCCTGCCAATGACACGAGTGATTGAGCAATACATCGGTTGTTGCCCGAGTGTCCACCAAATAAACTAGAATGGATGGAAACCTTATGAATCATCTGAATGCCTATAACTGGGCCTTACAGAAAATACAGAAATGGCTGTGTCTTGTTTTGAGGGTAACCTTTGTTTGGTTGGTTTGAAAGGGACACCAACAGAAAACTAACCATTCTTGAAATAGTACTTTAAGCCACACCCAATAATTCATAAGAGTCTGTCTTTTTGAGGGTACACGCGCCTTTTGGTGGTTTGAAAGCACAACCAATAGCACCCCCACCTTTGTTTTTTGGGGCCCCGCTTTTGGTTTTTGGGGGCCACCCTCCCAAAAAAAAGAGGTGGTTTTCCTATCGGTTGGGCACACCCAAGAAGACTTGTGGTTTTCCTTTAAACCGGGGGGCCCCTAAAAAGAGAAAAGACGCAGATGTTGCCTCCGTGAGCGAGGAGCTGCTGCAGCTGCTGCGGCACCGGGACGCAGAGCTGGCGCGGCTCCGTGAGCTTTGCCAGGGCAAGGCGCGGGGGCTGTGAAATACATCGGAAGCGGACGGACGGACGGGATGGAAAAGCATGGAGGTTGCCGGTTGGTTGGTAGGTCGGTTGGTTGGTTGGTTGGTAGGCTGGTAGGGTAGGTTGGTTGGTAGGTTGGTAGGTTGGTTGGTTGGTTGTTTGGTTGGTTGGTTGGCTGCGTTTGGTAGGTAGCTTGGTTGTTTGGTTGGGTGGTTGGGTTGGTTGGTAGGTTGGTTGGTAGTTTGGTTGGGTAGGTAGGTTGGTTGGGTAGGTAGGTTGGTTTGTTGGATTGGTCGGTAGCTTGGTTGGTAGGTTGGTTGGTTGGTCGCCATTTGGTGTTTCGACAACTAGACAATTTGTTGGCCTCAGGGAGACTACACGGCGGCTTGAGCAAGGTGACTTTGACAAAAGGTGTATGTTTGAATCAGGCTTGGCCCAAGCTTTGGCATCCAAGACGAGAAAATCAAGCCGACATGTTTGGGCTTGCCCCGGAGGAAAAAGGGGATTGGGCGCTGGTTCAGCTTCCTCTGTTTTCGGTTTGCCCCTGAAAATGAGGAGCGTGGGGTTCAGAGGATGGGTTTGGGTGGAGGGATACAGTTCTAGACTCCTACATGGGCTGTAAGCCTCGTGGGGTTCCGGTTGCTTGAGTACGTTTCGGTGTGCTGATTGTCCTTAAGAGCTCTAGATCTGACATGTGTCTTTGGCAAAGTCAAGTTGTCATCTCGTGTGTCTGTGTGTGTGTGTGTGCTGTGCCTTGGTGCGTGCGGGCGGGCGGGCGGGCGGGCAGGCGGACGGGCGGGCGGGTGGGTGGGTGGGTGGGTGCGTTTGTGCGCCAGTTTTTGTTTGCGATGGTACCCACGAACTACATCGGTTTAAAGGGAAGCTAAAATGAAAGCTGAAGGTTTCGTTTTGACACAATGCGTGAAATTATTTGGATGGCTTTTGACAGGATACCACGGTGGACTTTCTCAAGACCAAGATCGCGGCTCGGCACAGACGGAAGATTGCGTTTAAGGTCCTCAATTGTTTGGTCATCCCCATTTACCCATATTGCTACCCCTTTGGTGGTTTGAATTGGTGGTTTGGAGGTTGAACATTGATGAAGCCAACGGGAAGCTACTGCACCAACGTCCAAACCACCAAACCAAACCACGAGCCAAGGCGAACATAAGGTGAATCGTTCCTCGATTTGCACCGCCGTTTAAGATGGTTTAAGCACAAGAAACACAAAAGGGACAACCCACCAATCCCATCCCCGTTATCACTGAGTGGTTTCTGCACTCTCACACTTGCACAGCAGGTAAGAGACAGACAAAGTGCAAAAGCGTGTGAAGAACAACACTCGTTTTGAATAGAGACTCTGTGCACTTCCATTTTGGTAGGTTGGGAAGGGGGCCATGAACCACCCAGTCCCGGGTCGATGCGCACCGCATCGACGTTTTGGGGGGCAGGTCACCTTGCAGAACCAGGCTCGTGCTGCCTTCAGCGAGCGGGGAGACCACCCGGCTGCTGAGGTGCAGGAGTCGAGGGCCATGTGGTGCAAGCCTTGCCAAGTGGGGCAAGTCGAACAAGGCGAACTAGGTTTGGAGGGGTGAAAAAGAATGGTTCTCCTTAGGTGTGTGTCCAATCTCATGTTTTCCGGAATAACCAGCCCAGAGCTAGATGCACAGAAGGGGGTTCCAAGTCTGGTCACGACGGCCGCTTTTCGAAGCCGATCTGCAGCCGGTCCATGTTGAACATCCAGACCTCGCGCCAAATGGAAAGCCACGCAGCAACTACAGAAAGCACGAGACACTACAATCATAAACTAAGAAAATCGACGCCAACAACCAGATCAAGCTACAAAACACACACCAACCACCGAAAGCACAAGTCACAACACTAAACACAAAACATGATCAAACAACAACAGAAAACACAAGTAACAAGGCTTAAAAGACACGTGCGAGCAGGTTTTCAATCAACTACAAGATGTGCCAACAGCACGCGTGCGCCACGGGAGGAGCTCCAGCAGCGCTTGCAACAGTCGCTGGAGGCCCAAGATGCGGCCCTGCGGCGGCAGGAGGCCCGGTGAAGGGGGGGGGGGGGGGGATGGGCGGGGGATGGGTTTTGAAGGGGGGCTGGTGGGTTCGGGGATGCGGAAAAATGTTTTGTTTTTCTCCTTTTTTTCTCAGAATCCTCGGTGAAAAGCCCTTTTCGAGGCATGTGGATCCCTGGAACTGTGTGTTTTGTATTCGGGACCACTAAAAGCGAAGAGGAAGCAAAAGAGGGTTCCCCCCGCAAAAGAAGAAGAAGAAGAAGAACAAGGAGAGACCTGCCACACATGGTGGTTCCCTCCGAACAATGTGATTCCAATGATGATGGTTCCTTTGTCGGTGTTTAAAGAAAAGAGCGGTGGTTCCCGGAAACCCTGGTATCCCATATCATGGTTATGTTGGTTTGCCCCAACAGAGTTCCGACTGGCTGCCATTATATAGTGGTTTTTTTCAGCCCGTCCCATGAACCCTTGCAGCCAACAGTGGCGAGCCCTTTTCCAACATTCACTTGAAAACAAGTAGCTCACCAACACCTGGTCTCAAACCTAATAGATTAACCCCGCTCTTGTCCCAGGGTTGAAAAAGCAAGGACAACAACTGTGAGACCCGGTCCTGCCTTTCCGACGAATAGGTGTCTTGTGCCCTGTGTTTGACCTATCGGAACCGACCTTGGCTTAGTCGTTGCCTCACTGATCTCACTGCACCCGTTGGAGCCTCTCAGTCTTCTGTTCCCTTCCAAACTGTTGGCGTGCCATCCTCGGCTAAGCTTAGTCTTGCAAGGATGACAGATGGACTTTGCGATTTCCCACTAATCCATGTTTGGTCAGAGCCAAAAATATTGATCAATCATTCTACGCAAAGACCAAATATTACAATATACGTATATGTGTATATATATATATATATATATACACATTGACAAATTGAGCACACCATATTTCTAGGACATGCGGCAGGTGCTGCATATGGCTTCGGCCGATGATGAAAAGGGCCTTTTCGACGGCGCCGAGCGGCAGGAGTTGTCCCTCGAGCTGCAACACGCGGCTTTGGAGGTGGACGACCTCCGAGCGGAGCTCAAGCAGGCCACCCGATCGGGCGGATCCGGGGGCGGGGGTGGGAGGGGAGTTGGGGGGGTGGGGGGGGTGGGGGGCTGGAGGGTGGTTGGGCATGTTGCGAAGATGGCTTTGGGATATGTCAAGCCCTTTCGATGCGCAAGAACTGCTCATGTATTTGCTCGAGAAGCACGGCAGGCGCACGAAGCAGCTCGGACCCCACGAAGTTTCTCTCCGGGGATTCCCTGGTTCGGATTGCACGTTTTATTTTGGATCCGCGGGAGGCGTCGCTAGACAGCACGAGTGCTACCTGCCAGGCCCGGGTGGAGGTGGGAAGGCTCGAGGCGGAGCTGCAGAGCCTTGGCACGAATGGAGCCTTGCAACAGTTGCTTCCATTTGCTTAAGAATATGTTGTTTTCCCCTGTTGGTTTTAAAGGGCTCAACCAAATGGAAGGTGGGGGTGCCAACAACGTGTTGTTTTTGGGAGTACCCTCTTTCCAATCGTGGAAGTGCATGGGTACCCAAAAGGAAAGTAGTCTTCCTGAACCCTTTGAGCTTCCATGATTGTTGGAGAGTAGCCAAATGAAGACTTAAGGAGTTGCTGCTAGCTCAGATGTTGTAATACGCCCTGAGGACCCAACAAGCCTTGGGCCGTCTTGGGCCAGATATATTGTTCAGTCCGACCCAATCAGGCCAAAGCTGACCAAAAGCGACCCTGCGAGTGCCAAGGAAGGTCCAGCTTGAGAACCAGGTGCAGGCCCACAACGGCTGGGTCCCTAGACAGAACCAGACAGAAGCTGGGAATCATTGCAATGCCTGTGAAAGATCTTTGTGATACTGTCGATGGACCAAATCCTGCACCACTCTGAAACAATTGGAAACCATTGTTTGCTGGTATTTACAGGGGAGTCATCATTCTGGGGTTTCTTAGGTAGCTACTTGCTCGAGGGCTAGTTCCTTGGTTGTCCTTATTGAACCTGTTCGACTGGCATTGGATGCTGCTTTTTCAGGTGCAGGGCAGGGTAGATCAGTGACTTTGGTTTTGACTAGGAATCAAAAGCCTGAGTCCTTCGCTGAATTCTTCAAGTTTCGAACTTGGACACTCGGATGCCGCGCGCATGTGCTCGATACATGATGTGTCCGGACGTTCCAGTTCCTAAATGATTGGCCTGTCAGCTCCAAAAGGGTCCAACTCGTTTTGACATATTACGTTTGGCCACCCACTCATTCGCTCGTAGCGATTGATAGCAATTGCCACGCCGGTTCAATTTGCTTTGCTTCGATCCCGGCTAGCACCACGGTTTTGAAACAGTTCCTTGGCGTTTCACTTTCGTTCACCCGCAGCCCTCCTCCGAAGGAATCCGAAGCACCCAAACAAATTGCAGGTCTGAACCAAGAGATTGACATAGCACGACGAGGGCCCAGTAAGCTCACAGGATTTGATCTTTTGGTTCGCTCTCCCTCAGCTCGTGGCTTGGATGCCTGTCTGAAGGTTTTCAGGGCAGGTCCTGAGCTTCTCGGCAAACAGAAGAGCCGCAAGGTGTGCCGAAGGAGAGCGTGCTTCTCGCGGTGGAGGAGTTGGAGAGGGAGCTCGCTCAGGCTGGGCGATGTGTTGACTCTGGCAGGGGTGACATCATGCAGGTGCTGGTGCTGAGGCTGGAGGTGGTGGCAGTGGTGGTGGTGGTGTTCTGGTTAATGTTCTTGCACTTGCATTTGTTTTGTTTTGGCTTTGGTTCTTGTTCGTGTGGTTGTTGTTGTTGTTGTTCTTGTTGCTCAGTTGTCCCTTCTCCTTTTTCTTATTTTTATTCTTCTTCGTTCTCTTCTTGTTGCTGCGATGCGGTATGATAGGGACGTTGGCCGCTTGGCAGCTTGCCGCTGGTTGCTTTGCTGCTCTTGGTCTCTGCCATTCTGGTTTGCTGCTTTGCAAGTTGCTGCTTTCGTGCTGTTTCTAAAGATGAATGACTAAACAGCCAATGGCGTTCTGTGCCTCCCTGGAAAGATTTGAAAATGGAGGCCAGCACCACGCAGAAAGGCACAGCCACAGAATCCATCTCACTCGTTTGTCAACAGCACCTTGTTGAATTGTACAGACGTACCTGGCGTGTTTGAGGCTTTGCGGGATTTCGCGGATTTCGCGGCATCGATCCGGCCAGGATCTGACCAAGACAGAGGTGCCTCCCTGCCTTCTATGGTGGCACAGTGCCCAAACCTGTCCGGTGAGGTCAGGTTTGTGCCAAGGGCCTTTGACGTGCTTTGGTGGTCTAACAGGGCTTCATCCTTGTAGAAAAGAACGCGCCTGCACGGCCTAAGCTCGTTGTCTTTTTGTGCCTGCGCTTTTCGTGTTCAATGTCAGCAAACTCCTGGATGGGCGGATAGTAGTTGTTGTTCTGAGCACAAGGCCGGATGGGTCCCCGCGGTCTTTCCCTATTTAGCTTTGGACGAAAGAAAAGGTGACCAGAGGTGTGATCAGAAATAGCCCAAGAACGCCACACCTAAAAGCGGAAACCATCTGGAATTCAGAAGACAACTAGAGCGGACAGCTCTCCAAATATGTAGCAATGGCTGGCAGATAGCATCATAGTCTTCACCCGCATTAAGATATCTAACACGTTACGAACCAGGCGTGCGCTTCGTATTTTTTTGTGACATTGGTTTGCCTTCGGTGCCCATACGCAGGTGCGTTGTTTCCATCCAAGTCTAAGTCTTTGGCCGGCGGTCGCCATGCAGCTCTGGGTCTTCGGTCGACCTCGCTGTTCATTCGATAGCCGGGCATGCGAATTTGACCTGAGATCAACACGCTGGAGCTCATGCGCGTTTTGGCATAGGAACATGGCTTTGTCTTGTGGGAACATGGGTTTGTCTTTTGCTTTTGAGGGTACCCCTTGTTTAAAGTGAAACCACCAGGAAGGCCTTGTGCCATGTTGGGGGTCCATGAGGCAAAGGTCTGGATTTGTTCGAGGCCAAGACCTCGATGGGAACTTTCCCTTCGGAATGAGGGCCCCTGCCCAACAGATTCGGGACAGGTGAGCAATATCTGGCGCTAAAAGTGGGATACATCGTTACTGGATGTTGCATACTGGTAACTCCGACTTGGCTACACTTCCAACTTCCCAGAGATGAGAGCCGCGCGGGCCGCGGCGGGCTTCACTGCTGGATGCTTGGAGTTCTGGTTACAAAGATGGGTACGGAGCGAGAAACCTAGGGACATCTATGGTTTGGGGTTTGTCTACTTGCAATTGTTCAGTGAATTCACAGTGTCACAGAAGATATTCTTTGTCCGGCCAACCCCAAGTTCCCATCGCGCTATCCATCCTTGCGTGGACGCTGCAACTGACTATTTTTGAAACTCTTTAAAGGAAGTCCCCTCCCCCATCTCTCTCTCTCTCTCTCAGTTGATATTGCCATTCTGACCTTGTGAGCCTTGCAGGCATTTTCCGAACAAGTCGTTGGAGTGACCAGTGGTCACTTACTTCTGCACAAGATGCGCCGGCGGCGAATTGCCAGATTTGTTTTCAAGGTGTAGGTATGGCGCCGATGCCATTGGTGAAAAAGAGGTATTTAACCTTGGGAATTGAGCGTCTAAACTGGTCTGAACGCCGGTTGAAAAGCCGATCTGCGCCCTTTCCGAGGCCTTCTTGTTGGCCCATCGTTCGCCCCAGAGCTACTGCGAGGATCAGTTCAGGTGAGGGACAGGGAAGCGCCGAACCTGCAATACCTGGCGTGGAGGTCAGAGGGGGTTTCATGTTGGTGCTCAAAAACGAGGCAAGTAAGATGATCCCCTCAACTGTAAGTTTGCTAAGTGTTCCAAAACATAAACTCTCTCTAGTCATAGATATCATTTTGTAGGTTTTGTGACAACCATCATTATGATGTTGTATCATTAGTCCTTTTGAAGCTTGTAACGGATGAACCGTGACTGTCCTTTAAAGGAGCTTTGACCAAGGCATGTATGGCGCTGCCCAGTACTAAAGGAACTTTGGACATGCCCTGGAATCAAAGTTCAAACATGATTAGACACTTGGTTTGCTGCTGAGCCAATTCCATCCACCATGTGTGGAATTGGGACCCCTGAGTGCGACCTAGGAGATAATCGCATCGCCAGAAGGCCGCAAGGGGAGCAACTACTTCAGTAGCAGGTGCAGAGACCTCCAAAGATTCTATGCGAGCTGCAATGTCATTCGCTCCCTGACATCCACTTGTGAACGTGGGGCGTCCTTCTGGCTGCTCGTTTGGCGTCCTTCTGTTTTGCCCACGAAACACTTGTCTTGGCGATCATGCTCAATCACTTATCACCCCACATCCCCCCAGTTCTGCATTATGCACGTGCTTGGAGAAGGACCACTGGGTTTGGTTTCAAGATAGGTCAACGCTTGGTGGATATGGCTTGCTTTGGAGACCGGCAGGCGGCCAGCGGCCCGTTCGGCCGAGCTGCCGCCGAGGCGGGCATCGAATTCCCTGGGGCACGACTTTTGGTCTCAGCTTGAGGTTCAGTTCAGTCCCCTACAATGAGGCTTGTTGTCCTGGAGGGAAACCAACCCACAAAAGGCGCCTGTGGGTGTCATATATACATATATATATGTATAGGTATTTGTATATTTCGCGGAAGGTTGCTCCAATGGCAGAGACCAATCCTGTCACAAGTCACATTCTGAAACTTGCAAAAAGGTTCTGCTCCAGGGTTCGTTGCCATCCGACTGGTTCCTCTCCGACTGGTTCCCCTCCGACTGGCCACTAGGCCCCAAGTTGTGCTGTTTGCAAGTGTACTGGAGGAATTTACGACGATCCAATGGATGGCCATCGAGCAGGTGTGGTACATTGTTTGTTCCTTCCATTTGAACGTCCACTCGCCTGTCAAGTTGTCGACAATGTGGCAACCTTTATGTTTGTTTGGTTTGCTGCCTTGTTTGGTTTATGAACATTCATCTCAGCAAGTCAGTCCAACAAGCACATTCTTGGCGGAATCGCAATAATACATACTGTGCTTTGTGCGGGCAGTCAGGTCCTGCGGTTTGTTGCCTGACACCGCGTAGCCTGGGTGGCCTGAGCGATGCAAACACCAACTCAAACTCGCGGGCATGCCTGAGAATTGGTCCTCTGCCGGAAGGGTGTTATTTTCTTTGAGACTGGCACTGCTGAACTTTGGCGTGCTCTGTTCGTTTGTTGGCACGGAACATGGGCAGCAGAAGCGCACTTGCCGTTGGATCGGATCGCGGCCAGGGAGCAATGGCGCAACAAGGTGCCCAAGGCTTGGAGTGGGACGGATACTCGGGATCAGCTGCTTCCGTGGGATGAGCCTTCGGGAATTCGAGTCGTGTCCTGAAATGAATGCGTGGCGTGGTTCCAGATAGTGCTTGTCAGTGCAAGCAGCCAGATACTTACAGGACAGACAAGGAGGTGCTCTGAATTTTCAGCAAGTGCGGCTTCACATTGGGGCTTGGACTTGCAAGCTGACGTCAAGAATGTTGCTGTCAGCTTAAGTTACAGTGGTGCACGCAGGCCGTGGCTCCCAAAAGAGCAAGAGAAAAGAAGATGGACGTTTACTCTGGAAGATTGCACAACTTGAGCCTTGGACAAATCCTGCGGAAGTCAACACTTAGATAATGTCGAGCCCAAATGTGCATGTGTGTGTTTGTTTCGGGCTTCAGTCAGGTTTCTTTGTAGGGGACAAATCCACCAAGGCGAAACGTGCCACATGTCGTTCTCATCGAGCTTGACTTGCCAAGCCCTCCATCAAAGCTAGGCGCAATTGCGGTGATGTAGCCGCCCCAACGCCCACACACAGCTCCTCATGAAATCAAAACAAAGAGTGTCCCCGTGCTGCTACGTGGTTTTACCTTCATCAACGCTCTTCCAAGCTTTCCCTTGAATAGCACATGTCAGTTTTTGCACCGGCTATTTTGAATGTTGCAGGGATTAATTGTGCAATGAAGGGAAGCATGCGTTGACATGTTGAAGCTGTCGCACGCCATGTCCGTTGACCGACAAACACGTAAAGACGGTGTTCGAGCTTTTTTGGGGCTGTGCGAGAGTTGGTGGCGTGTGTTGAGCTGTTGCAGTTATGACTGTGCTTCCCTGCAAGAATAAGAAGGCAGTGGGGTGCCGCCACCAAAGGCAAATAAGCCGCCAAATTCAAACACGTTCTCCGAGACTGGGCAACCCTTTTGAATAGCACGAAGTCGCACCCAAGCCAAATTGGCCTCGGCAGCGATACCCGCAGGCGGAGCGCCAGGACTCTCTGCAGAGCCATTTCCGGAGACTTCAACGGAAGATGGCGCGGGTGTTGGTGTGGCCAGGGTTCCCTTCATTTCCCTTTGAGGGATCCCCAAAATACTCCGGCTCAAGGACATGTATTCGGGTGGAATAGGGCTAACACCCTGCAAAACGAAGCCTCTAGAGAGCTCCTTTGGGGTTTGAAACATAGGGACATGAATCCCACTTAAATGATGTCCACCAAAGGGCCCCCCTATTAAGATTCACACCCAATAGGGGAAAACATAGGGAAGGCATAGCTGGTTGGCACTTGAGTCACTTGAGTCACGGTTCCTGATTGATTTCCTTGCTGGCTTTAAAGTGTTAGACGTCACTGGACAGACTGTTCAGCGAACTGGTTTTAGACATCATCATTTGGTGAATGTCCTTGCTGGATGCGAGAGGAAGGAAAGTGAACATGGGGGGGGTAGCCAACAATCTGAGCCTCCTGGCAGGAGATGGATGTTGCAAGTTTGGGCTCGTCTTCAAAAATGAGGCGAGTACTCGAGATTGGGGTTGGTTTTGAAGGGGAACCTTACAGGGAAACCACTGGCTTTGGTGGTTCTTCTTTTTTGAGACCCGAATTCTAGCTTTTCTCGCTAGGTTGAATGGCTATGGTTTTTCAGTTCTCAGTTCTCAGTTTGCTTGGCTGAACCAGTCAATATGTTGCTTATGGTTGCTCGAGTTGTTGCGTGTTTTTGCACAACAGGTCATGCTGTTCTGGGCAAGCTCTCCAGTGCCAATGGTACGCGGTTTCCTGACGCAAGGGCAGAGCTTGCCCTGCGCTGGCTTGAGGCGCAGACCAAGCTGTGGAAGGAGATGGACGCTGAGCCATTCTGCAACTTGGCCTGTATGTCCAACTGTGTCCTTTTTGTTGGATGTCCCACTGTGTCCTTTTTTGATGGTGCCATGGCCAACTATG